AGTGGTCATGGTCAGTAAGAAGAATGCCACCCATACAGAAAGCTAAAAAGATCAACAAGTGATGTTGGCCCAGAACTATGCACAGAGCCATCCCTATAAGGCAAAGTCCTTATACTGATGTCACTGGTCGCCTGGAGCTCAGCGGGACGCTCTGGCCGGCATCCCACCCAGCTCCTGGCAACCAGTGATGTCATGAGGCAAAGTCCTTATACTGATGTCACTACTTGCCTGCAGCTCAGCGGGACGCTCTGGCCAGCGTCCCACCCAGCTCCTGGCAACCAATGATGTCAGTGAGCTCGGTGGGACGTCAGCTAGAGCTGAGTGGTGCACCACCAGGATGCCAGCCAGAGGACCATTAGCATACACCACCAGCACCCTATTAACACCCCCAAACATGACCACCGGCACCACCTCCCTGCCTCAGGTGGCAATTATACTAGGGACACCCCTGACTATGCAGGCACTATCAGATGGGAAATCAGTTTGCCACTGTTCAAGGATGCGATAGCAACCTCCACGGAACCCTGGTTGACAATGTCTGACCTATACAAACACAAGGAATCTGCAGATGTAACAATGTCATAATAGATTAATTAACACCAATAAAAAATAAACTTTCCACTTCTAATATCTACATTAAAAAGCTTGCATTTTATTAGTACATAAAAAAATGAAATCCTGTGTTAAAAAATACTAAAACCCTGATGGACCATGTGAAATGTGTATTGTTAATGTGCTAACAGAACTGTGTGCACATACATGTTGCAGCACAAATATGTACAAAATATACAGTATACAATCACCACCATCTTGAGACAATGGCCAGAAGTCTGAATATTGTATGTTATATGACATCCAATAATGATCTCCAACATAAATACAAGTTAGCTATAGGGACTTGCCCTTAGGACACCAAGCATTTTGTGTACAAAAGTGAATAATGTGAAACTTCGCGCCACTACTCTAATCAAGTTAAGCAGCAGCTGAAATCTGTGTGGTCAGATATAACGTATGAAATTAATGGTAAAAGCCGCGCTGTGTGAATGAGACCGCAAAGTGTCAGATATAGTAGATACTGACCTTGGAGTAATGTGATACAATGTGTAAAAAGTGCAAATTTAATGGACTATTGAAGATCCAGGATCATGGACATTTTTTAACCATTTATTATTTTCACTGGAGTGCAAGTTACACACATGCGTTTTTCTTGTCGGTATTCTTTGCACATTGCATCACATTGATTCACAGTTAATATTTAGTGCATTTGATTTTTCATTATGGATATCCTGTAGCAATTACATTTACACTAAGGTGCATGTTATATACATGCGTTTCTTTTTTGTTTTGCACTTTTTACACATTGTATCACATTACTCCAAGGTCAGTATCTACTATATCTGACACTTTGCGGTCTCATTCACACAGCACGGCTTTTACCATTAATTTCATTTTGTGTACAAAGTTCACATCCAAACACAGACGCAAAACTGATTTCCCAATAATGTGTCAAGATACTACAGTATTACTCCATTTGGGAATGTTTTGTGTTTTTATAGGTACTAGTGATTTGTGGCTGTATAAATTAAATCTGGGCAGATTATAAAGTACAAAACAAAGAGATTGTAGAGCGTCTCTGTAAAGAAGTCAAAATATTTAGTGAAAAGACTTTGTCAAGAAGGCAAAACCGCACTGTATCATCAGTCAAAGGCTTTTTATTTTCTACTTGCCCATCTGATCATAACCTTATAGTTCTTTCTTTTATTAATGGAAGTTATTAAACTTGAAACAGCAGTAGTTGCATGTTATATTGCTTTAGTTATTAGAATGCACCAGGTTCTGGATTTATACAGAATCACCAGACTGGACTTCATTACTGGAGTCCGTAGACACACGACCATAGCCTCCCAAAGCAGTGCCCCTCTACTGAAATAACCTCTTACACAGAACAATTCCTTGTTTTACTAACCTAGCTAAGAATGTGAAAATGTGCAAGGAAGCTCAAAAGAGATGATTATATTTTTGCATGATGGTAAAAACTTGTCAACCAGATGGGGAAAAAACACCTAAATGCCTGTAATGCCTATAGCAACTAGTTTACAGTGCCTAATGATTATTTTGTCAGTGCAGACATGTATTTGTTTCAGTTAAACCCAGTGCAGGATTTCCATCACTGTAATATATTGGTACACAACTTTTGTCACTATGCAATACCCTGCAGTATGCTACTACAGAAGACTGTCTTTTTTTTTTACAAGTCTGTCCTTCATTAGAATATTGTGACAGTGAGCAAGCATGCATATTTATGATATCTTCAATTCTACTAATAAAGGAAAAAAAGATGTGTGTCCACTAATTGCAGAGGAAAAAGCATCCTCTTTACCCCTGCGGCCTATTAGCATATGCTTTCTGTGCCTATTAGTAAATCCAGCCCTGGTTAACTAAGTCTGAGTAGGAAGGGCAACATATGCTATTCCAACTGTCCAGTTTCAATGTCTTCTTTCATTGTAAGATAACCCTTGTCTCTTATCTTTCCTCTGTTCCAGCACAGCAGCCTTCATCTGTTTCTTCCACATTGAACACTTTTAGAACTGTTGAATGCTGCCTGTGTGCCCCACTTTTTGCAATGGTCCCATCCTCTGACCCATACCTATGAAACAGTCAAAGCGAATAAAAAAAGAATAAATATAATTTTGTCTAATAAAAGTAGTATGAAATTCCCAGATACATTTTGGTATAAGCATGGTAAGGTTTACTAATTTTCTGTAGTTCCTTGCTGGAATAAAACATGTCACATGGAGAAGAACATAATCAGAAGTTAAGGATTTTAGTGCAGAAATCAAATTATTGATAACGGCAGAGCAAGCCTTACTTGGATTTGATTTATTGCACAGAACTGTGAACAGAACAACATCTGCAAGATAAAATATCTCACTGAGGGAAACAATGTCTGGAAGATTCCAGCAGACTTGTTTCACAGATAAACACTTTTACACTTTCTGTAATGTTTGCATTTTTAGCCATATCATTTTGTATATTTTGTTATTATATACAGCATGTAAAGTTGGTTCTTTGAAATTTGGTTTAAAAGGCAATCAACATTGTTACTTTTCAAATATGCTGCATATTTACCCATATGCATGGCAAGAAAAATAGCAGGTGGTTTAAAGCTGACTGTCAGTGGCATACAGTGATGTTTTATTTAAACATTAGCCAATGTAATTTAATGCAAGTGGTACAAATTCCCAAATTTGACTTGTTTTTAGCCTATTGTAATCCTCTGCACAACAGACTTGGAGAGGGAGGGGCAGCATTAGGAACCAATCGGTTGTGCAGCATGCTAAATACTGTAAATGAATATGCTGATAGGAGAGAGCTGTCTACTGGGCTTATCAGACTGCTTTTGTTCCTCCACTGTCCAATCACAGGCTTGGGGGCAAGGAGGTGGCCAGGCTGCATTACATAACTGCAGCAAAGGTAAGTCTAGTCAACAGGTTGGCTGTGCTGTGTGACAGGGAAGTAAGAAACTTCAGGACTAGGTGGACACAAATACAAAAAATTTGGCATATAAAACAGCCTCCATATATTTATTACAACAGTATATGTCTCACGGTTGGCTAGATGTCAGCTTTCAGTATCAGCTCAGCTTGCAATAATTGATCCTACCATATAAGAGCCCATGCAGCTGCTACTTTTACCCACTCAAAGCTTTCTAGATAAAGTATTCCTGTAAACCTCTTTTTTTTTATTAGAAACCTACATACTTTCTATTAGTTTTTTTTTTGTTTTTTTGCTTTGGGAGACAGATTTACTGCAAAAATTATATAGAAAAAAATATAGAAATGCATTATTGGGAAACATTTTTACATAAATCATTATATTTATATAATTAAAATGTTAATTAATTAATTTATATTTTTATTTATTTTTATCCTAGGTTTTTCGTACCAAAAACTATTTGCTTAGACATGTAGGTACATCTTAAGCATAGATCATTATGTTTGCCCTTGTATATTACAGAAAATGTACAGCTCTTGCTTCTTTGAATAATACTTGCAGAAGTTGTATGTTTTATTCACTACAAAACAGGCATTTTATAAAACATTGTTACTGTTATACACTCAATGTGACTCTAGACTTTCAAGAGAAAGTCAAAATTTGCATTTCAATAAGGGCTCTTTCACACGTGCGTTAAGTGTTTAATGACAGAGCATCGCTGATTAACACGCCTATAGTGTTAACAAGGCATTCAGCAGGCATTTTCAAGGCATTAGGGAGCCGTCAAAAATGCTTGCAAAATGCCCTTCAAGTAGGGGAGGGTAAAGTGATGTAGTAAAGGGAAGTGAACAGCAGGACTTGCAGTAGCTGGCTAGACGGGTCTTGGCATCTGCAGCTGCTCTGTCCTCACTCTCTGATTTCCCATTGTTTTCTGGGCTTGCAAAACCTCCTATACCTCTCCTGAACACATGTGCAACGCTTGACAAAAGCCTGAAAACCGCTCTAGAGAGCGTTGACCAAGAGTCACAATAGACATCAATACAGGCATTATTCCAGTGGCATGCCTCCATAACGTAACATGCAATCTATTTTTTGATGCAACACGACGTGAAGTTAATGCCTGCGTGTGAACTATACTGGGCGGTTACCATTGTTTTATCCCACATAGGTGTTAATAACGCCTGATTAATGCCTGCTTTTGCCGCACGTGTGAAAGAGCCCTAAAAGGGTTTCAACTTGAGTTACAAGCAGTAGATTTGTACAGGAGCGGTACTAAGGGCTTGAAGAGAAATGTAAATACCTTCTATTTAAACAGGGAAACAATGGTAATTAACAGCAGTGGAGAGCATTTTTATTTTTTTGATCCACTTAATCCTAATCCTAACGCTCATAACACATTACTTGTCAGTACATTCAATGAATAGTTAAAATATGTTTGAGACATTTTTAATTTACTATATAACATTTTTATTATGAGTGACTGTGTTATCTGCTGTTTGCTACAGGAACATAGAGAGCAGCCAAACATCCTAGTTCTTCAAGAAGAGCCAAGGACTCCACAAGAGCATGAAGGAGTAGCCATGAATGTTCGACATGGAGATGTAAATGAGACTGCAGGGCTAAAAGAGGTAAGAGATATCCCCCCTTATTTTAAGAGTTATGTAGTAACAGAAGAATATGGTATTATGAATTAGCCTGGACATTGTTTCCGCCATTAATAGGCTTGGGTTTCTTGAGATACAGAATCATTCAGTCATCAGAATGAACTCAGAAGGTTTTATCTGTGTATTGCTCCCAGTTCATGAGCATCAGGTTCTCCCCACTGGCCACAGCTTAAATGCAGGCTGAAGAACAATACAAGGTATAAGTGAGTACATGAAGTGTTCATGCAGAAACAAACACTGCATTTGTCCTAATTTTTCTCTGTGCTGTAGTAAGACTCATAACATAGAGAGACAGCAAGGTCTAGAAATCAAAGCACATTAGAAACTAGAATGCCAGAGGAGCTCTTTTACTTTTTGCACATTTGGCGTTTAAAAGCTATATTAGGTGCTTCCCTCTGTTGGCATATTCATTTACAGCTGTAGATGAAGAAAGCAGAAGCCTCAAGCTCCATTCACATTTTTACATGAGGTGCAATTGAACTGTGGGGGTGATTTACTAACCTAAACACACGCACGCACTAGGTGCGTGTGATTTTTACACAGCAAAACGTATTTATCAACCAAAAAGTCTCTAAAAGCATATTTCCACTAATGCCATATATGGAAAAATCATGCACATGATGCATATATAATGCTGCTTCACAGTTTAGACAAAAATGGTTAGCTCATGCATTTACATTCCTGCATTCATCAACGCAAGCAACACAATGTAGAGCTAATTTACACAACATCACCTTGCAATTCATGCAGGGCTTTGCACAACACACCTGCTGGGTGTGTACACACTACACAGGTGTCTAGATTCCACCAATAGATCATGCTGGGAGGGAACACACTACAGAGGTGTATACTTGTTCATGGCGTGTTTATAAGGTTAGTAAATCAACCCCTGTAAGTTTGTACACAAACTACGATAAATTCTATAAAAGATGTACTTTACTGGAAAATGTACCAAAGATTCACATATTTGAATGTAGTCTAAAGTGCATACCTAGCCAAGAACAGTCAGCTGTTCACAGAAACGGGACCAGCTAGGGCAAAGAGGACTGTTGGCTGTCTGGAAAAGAAGAATGAGAACTAATGGTTCCTTTTTGTGTAAAATAAGTTATACCTATATAAACAATGTTAGTTTTTTCTGTTTTCTTGATTTCTAGTTCTGTCTCTTTAGTTTCATCTCGGGTAGACTTAATATATTTTTTCCTATAGTTCAACATTTACATAAACTCTTGTATTTTTATCTCATTATGCATAATGCCCTGCTGTTCTCTTGGTAATCAAATCCTATTGCACTGCTGCACAGAAGGTTTAGTTTTGCAGCATTTTTAAAGTGACCGTGTCAGTCACTTCCAAAAACTAACTAGAAGATCCCTGCAATAAAAAAGCTATTATACCCAGTGCTCCAGTAGCCTGCGTATTCTACCTTCCCTTCATTCCAGTGCTGCACCCTCAGTCAGACACTTCTGCATTTGACACTTCCATGTCTCCTGTCATGCCCCGTGATTCCCTCCTCCTGCCCCTTGATCGCTAGGGGACACAGCACAGGGTCGAGGAATGGAGCCACAGTGTGTTGTGGGGGACACAGGCATCCAAGATCCCTGGAAATGTTGAACGCTAAAGAGTATGACTGAGGGGAGGTAGGAAGCATGGGTCGCCATTAGCGCTTTAATTACAGGAACTTGCCAGATAGATTTTTTTAGGTGACTGACAAAGTCACTTTAAATATAATGGAGTAGAGAGAGCCATACGGGAAAAGGCTTTTGTTTCATTTATGGGGAAAGAACGGGTTCCAGGTAAAAGGAAACCTGTAATGAGAACTATATGGGAGCTACCACTGCTGGCATTTCCATTTAAAATTCCAAGTTATCTGATAAGCATGCAGGTTCTGAAGGTTTAATACTTTCAAAGTCACTAACCTGTAACAAATATGCAAATTGGGATTTCTGATTCAGTTCGTTTTACTGCATACCTGCTCTGGGCTTGCAAGTTCTGAAGCCAGATACATCCAGACAACTAGTATTTTAGAAAGCAGCCCACTTATTTCTTCCATAACAGGTGTATTTTAATCCAAGTAAATAAGCTAAGGTTGTGGTAAAATTGTCTTATAACAGCTCTGACACAGGTGTTCTACAGGGTAAAAATGGGAGTGGGACAGAAGCAGCTCAAGCTGACTATTACATGTTGATATCAACATAATAAATAGGAGAAGCACTGTCACTGGGGAATTGCTCTAGCAGTGATGGAAACAATGTTCGACTGAAAGTAGAAAACATATTTTAATGCACCAAGATGTCACGATACCTGATATGTCATAATGTATTTGCTAGACTTAAAAGAGAACTATGGCCTAACCTTTTTTGCCCATAGTTCTCTTCAGGGTCACTGAAGGACATATATTAATGTCCTCCGGTGACCCAAAACTCAGTATATAGCAGGCTATTGACCGCTATATGATAAGAGCGCAGAGCTGCGCAGCAGCCGGGACGACTCCCGAAAATACTGTTGAGATCCACCCTGCCACCTGATTGACAGGTGGCTCTGGCTCTCTAGAGGCAGAGCCAGCTGTGCCTGCCCCCTCCCTTATCCATTCCTCCAGTCAGTGCAGGAGAAACAGAGAGGGAAGGGGGGAATACCTGTGGGGAGCGATGACTGACAGTTACCACTCTCTCCCAGGAGAGGATCATGAACTAAGCAATCGGCATTATGGGTTCGCTGAGTTCCTGATCAATAGAGCCGACCTGTGACAGCTTCAGTGTGACAGGTCAGCTTGAATCATGGGGATGAGTGTTTTTCACTCACCCCATAATTCTCCTTTAAAAGAAGCTATGATAAATTACATTGTTCTTGAATATCTGCTTTTACTGACAACGAGTCTGTTAGTTATATAGAATTCTCATTATGTTTGTGGAAGACTTAGACAATGAGGTTTTTCAGGAATGAAAATAAAGTATCTTTTTATAGCTTTTGGTTTCCTGGTGCCATTAAACAAAACACATGGATAACTTTGAATTGTATTTATTTAGGTGTCAAGTATGTAGTGCCACTGCTCTCAAATGTATTATTTGTGTCAGCACACAATACAGCATGTTATGTGTGAACTGCACTGATACCAAAAAGCAGTCTTTATTTGGACATCTTAATAGCTTAATTGGCCTTAGGGATTGCTATTTTTACAAGTCTGTTTGAGCTACTCAAATCCTTAGGCATGTGCTTTTTATACGTGGGATCTCCCTTAAAGAAATACACTTGATGCTTGAACACTATACCCACTGTATTAAATACAATACTTATTAAATTATATATGCTTATTACATAAACTCCTTCACAAAACAATCAAATCATGCCTGGTGTACAGCATATGTGCAAGGAATATTTACAAATCAAAATAACTTTAGTGGACGGGTAAATAATTCAGTTTAGTAACTATATTTTTCAGGTGTCAAATGATTAGTAAATTAACCATAATAATTAGTAAATTTACCATACCGGTACAATTTGTTTTTGGCACACAAGTCTTGGGGCCTATTTTTTTTTTAAAGCTGGCAATACACACAAAAGATGAACATTAAAATGATTCATGTATAATCCTCTGAAGAAGTGGACAATGATCCAGGACACAAGTCAGGAAATTACATAATCTCGAAAATCTGTGACAACCTGAGCTTTGCTGGTACTATGTAATTTGTTAGCTGCAATACACATTAAAAGGTAAACTCTTTCTCAGCTTTGTTCTATATAAATGTATTTTCTTGCTCAAAACCCAATGATGCAAAGCTTTTAACTATTTTAATTGAAAAAAAACAGTGAATTAAAAAAAAATATTTAAAATGTAAAATTTGTGTCTGTTTATGTTATTTTTTAGACACCCTTTGGACTTTTTTTTTCTGATAAATGTGTCTGTAAGGGTTCTCATTTTTCCAGGCCATGGTGTGGCTAGTAGTAGTAAAGCTGGCAGCTCATTGGCTGGCGGCTCTGTTCGTCTGAAGATTTTCTGACCAGCTCCCTCGATCAGCTGATAGAGGGATGCCAGCTGAAAGGGTGCTGACAGCGGCACCCACTGTGCGAATTTTGTCTGGTCCCTCAAAAACCGGCTGAAATTCACACACTGCAGGTCCAACTTTAGTCACATTCAACTTTATAGGTTCTGTAATGTTGAAGATGTTTTGCAGCTTATCCAAGTCACTTCTAAGTTTCTAAAGAGTGTCAGAAAAATACCCCAGCAATTTAAATCCACACAGGTAGCCCATACACCTTAATTCAATCTCCATGGAAAGGCATGTTGCGCTTGGTAAGTGAATCTATTTGGTTTTACTGTGAATAGTGAAAATAGTGAAAATAGTCCATGGACTAATCACCACGGAACCATACTGTGACTATTTTCACTATTTACAGTAAAACCAAATAGATTCACTTACCAAGCGCAACATACCCACTTCTCTTTAAAGCACTTAAACACACATTGTTGCGGCTGGTGTTTTAAATCCGACTCCTAGCGCAAACTAAGTTGTTTTGAATAATCTACATGGAAAGGCAGATGATAATGTCCAGGAACAAGATAGGATGTGTGAAATCTGTAGAACCACCCTGCTCTAGCTACATAATCTCATCCTTGGTGTCAGGAAGGCTTCATAGGTATTTATCCTTCGATTTGCATAGCTGAAGGTGTGAATTGTTGTAGGAAGAGGCACTAAATAACAATGTATCCTTTTTAGACTGGTTGTAAAGGAGAGGGGTGCCTTGGACAATGAGGTCTGCAGAAAACTCACCCTCACAGATTAGTATCTGATTTTGACTCCCATTATACACTGGTACACAAACTGAGGGTAATTAGAACTCTGCAAAATTGGGCTAAGGTAGTAACAACAAACACAGTCTAAAGGCAAAGAACACAGACATGTCAGAAGTGCTTTGAAAGTTTGTGGCTACCTAGACTGGGTTCTCCTTAAAACATTTACAAGGTCTATTAA